GTCATTTAGGGACGTGCAAATCAAATGTTTTGAGAAATGCAGTGAGATACCACTTCACACTCACTATGATGGCTATAATCCAGAAAATAGAAAATAACGAGCCTCGGCAAGGATTTGGGGAAATTGGCATCCTCACACGTTGCCAGTAGGAGTATAAAATGGGGCAGCCCCCATGGAACACGGTTTGGCAGTTTCTTGAAAAGTTAGAGTTACCAGCAGTTCTACTGATGTTTGGACACATGTTCACACAAAAATGTGTATGTGAACATGAATGTTTATAGTGACATTATTCATAATAGCTAAAAAGTGGAAACAACCTAGATGTCTACCAGCTAATGAATGGATAAGCCAAATATGGTATAATCCATACAATGGAATATTATTAAGCCACAGAAAGGGATGAAGTACTGTTGATACATGCTACAACATGGGTGAGCCTTGAAAACATTTGCTAAATGAAAGAAACCGGACATAAAAGGCCACATATATGGAGCGTATGTATGATTCCATATATATGAACTGTCCAAAATAGGCAAATCCATAGAGACAGAAAGTAGATTAGTGGTTGTCTAATGCTTGGAGAGGTGGGGAATAGGGAAGGACAACAGGTAACTTCTGTTTAGGGTGATAGAAATGTTTTCGAATTAGATAGTGGTGGTGATTGTATAACCTTGTGAATATGCTAAATATTATAGTTTCTGGCCTGATTCCATTGAACTTGCATTTCTGATCACACATTCTTGATTTCTATGGTGCCTACAAGTTCCTGGCTGCTAGTATAGTAAGAGTAGAATAGAGAAATCAAGTTTATTGCTGACTTCTAACACAAAGGTAATTTTTAAATTAAAATGATAAAACAGAATCCCTTAGCAAATGTGATTTAACTTCTGAATTTCTGTTCCTTCTTTGTGTGATGTGCCCCTTCCCTAAGCAATAGGAACATGGTATCTTACTGTGGAGAAGAACAGTTTAAGAAGTGGTGAGGAAATTGCCTCAATAGGCATTTACTGTTCTTAACTCTGTAATCTGCTGGGCCAGCTGATGAGGACCAGAGAAGCAGCCTAATGCTCCTGGACAGCCGTTGGTGGAGGAAAGTTGTACCTCTTGGCAGGGTTTAGGGGTATTGGAATTCATTGCAAAAACAAAAGCATCATGGACCTTTGAAGGCTGGGCTGTAATGTATGTGCCAAAAACTTTATAATGAAATTTCACGCTTTATAAATGAAATTCGACGCCACGTGTAGAGGTAGAAGTGGACTCATTTAGTCTTCTAAGTAGCAGCAGCACTGTCTGGTTTCTTTTTGGATCATGCTCTTAGATGAATAAATTATTATATTCTGTATACTCAGTTTATGAAGCTGAAGTATATATGATACCAACAATGGAACTAAATCAAAATTTTTGATAAACTTCAGTTATTTGGAAAATTTTTCTCATGGAACTTTTTTTTTTTGAGACAGAGTCTGGCTCTGTTGCCTGGGCTAGAGTGCTGTGGCATCAGCCTAGCTCACAGCAACCTCAAACTCCTGGGCTCAAGTGATCCTCCTGCCTCAGCCTCCCGAGTGGCTGGGACTACAGGCATGCGCCACCATGCCTGGTTAATTTTTTTCTATATATATATTTTTAGTTGTCCAGATTATTTCTTTCTATTTTTTAGTAGAGATGGGGTCTCGCTCTTGCTCAGGCTGGTCTCGAACTCCTGACCTTGAGTGATCCACCCGCCACGGCCTCCCAGAGTGCTAGGATTACAGGCGTGAGCCACTGCGCCTGGCCCTCATGGAACTTTTGATTCAGGTATCATTGCAACTGTGAATTGCAATCGATTGAAGACAGAATCAATATGTAACACTGTCTCTTCAAAAGGATGACATTTTGTCTGTCTCTTCTACTCTTCCTAGGTTGTGTATTCTTCCTGTGCCTGGGGATCTTTTATATGTTTCGCCCAAACATCTCCTTTGTGGCCCCTCTGCAAGAGAAGGTGGTCTTTGGATTATTTTTCTTGGGAGCCATTCTCTGCCTTTCTTTTTCATGGCTCTTCCATACAGTCTACTGCCACTCAGAAGGGGTTTCCCGGCTCTTCTCTAAGTAAGTATTTGTGAAGTCCATATTTTGATCAGTGAGGTAGTAGGTTAGGGAAAAGCATCCAGAGTTGGCAGAATTCTTAATACCATCTGATGGGAACTTGTTTTCCCAATCAAAGAGCAACCCAGTTTGCCTTTTAGATGTTGTCGATAGCTCATTTCATGGGGGCTTAATTGAAACCTGTAATGGTCAGTAATTTATAGCATTAAATGGATTTCTTTGTTCTATCCTAGACTGGATTACTCTGGTATTGCTCTTCTGATAATGGGAAGTTTTGTTCCTTGGCTTTATTATTCTTTCTACTGTAATCCGCAACCTTGCTTCATCTACTTGATTGTCATCTGTGTGCTGGGCATTGCAGCCATTATAGTCTCCCAGTGGGACATGTTTGCCACTCCTCAGTATCGGGGAGTAAGAGCAGGTAAGAGCACGTGGAGGTTCTACACTGGACATGCATTTACTCACCAGTCATTTACTAAGGGTCTACTGTTTGCCAAGCATTATGCTATGTATTTTTGATGCAGAGATGAATAAATCATCATTCCTGTGGTTGAGGGGCTTTTAATGTAGTGGTGGTGGTGGTGGTGGTCTTCACTAGCTGTCTTTTTTTTTTTTTTAGCCTGGGCAACAGTCTCGCTCTGTTGCCTGGGCTAGAGTGCAGTGGCGTCAGCCTAGCTCACAGCAACCTCAAACTCCTGGGCTCAAGTGATCCTCCTGCCTCAGCCTCCTGAAGAGCTGGGACTACAGGCACATGCCACCACACTGGCTAATTTTTCTATTTTTAGTAGAGATGGGGCCTTGCTCTTGCTCAGGCTGGTCTCGAACTCCTGAGCTCAAACAATCTGCCCGCCTCAGTCTCCCAGAGTGCTAGGATTACAGGCGTGAGCACCGCGCCCGGCCTGGGAATGTTTTTTTACTTGAGCCATACACTGTCTAGAAGGCAGTAGCTCTGTAATCTTTGTAAAATAAACAGTAACTTCTCTTACTCTTTCAGCTTGCATGTACTGTTTGTAGTGATTGAGTCTTTTTGTTGTCATTTTTTGTTTTGTTTTATATTTTTATTTTAAAATGTATAATCTACTTAGATAAATAAGGCTTTACCCTCATACTCATTGTGTTCTTTTAAAGAAGATACCGTAAATCTCTTCTGATACAGGGGTAAAGGAGCTTGTTATATTTAGGATAATGCCTGTTTAGCTGGAGAGCATATGGAAAGCCAAAAGCCTTATTAAGGCACCGAGAGGTATGGAGTTAGCAGAGATGTTTTTATCTCCCACTGGACTGGGAACTCCTTGTAGCCAGGGCCCCCGTCTTCAATTTTCTGTTCTCAATGTCAAACCCAGTGCCTACCAAGAATGAACAAGCAGTATTAAAAGGAGTATTTTTCCTTATATCCTCTTCAAAAAAAACCCATTTAGTATTAAAATCCAAGTCTTTGGTCCACCTGCAGTTACAGTTACCTAGAAGGTTAGAAGTATTAATAGAATTAACTTCATGTTAATGACCACTGTCATAACACTCTGCCCTCTTCCTTTTTTTCTAAGTATTCGTATGAACAATGAGCAGTGGTCAGAGTGGCTTTCAGTAGTACTGTAGTGTTAAGCCTGCTTGAGCACATGAGATAAGACCGTCTTTGCTGAGTAGAGCTGAGCATTCTTCTATTTACATACATCCAAAGAACCAAGTTTCTGAGCCTTCGACTTAGCAAATGATAGACAAAACCATTAGCAGCATTTGCTTAGCATATAGAGGAAAAATAATAAGCGAAGGAACAGGATCATGATGATTTTTCTTTAGAGGAGTAGAGGTAGGAAATAGTTTCTCTTTAGGCCTGCTTGGATCCTGTCTTTTGTGAGATCAACATTGCCCTTTTCCTCTTGTAGCTGCCCATTTTATCTGTGAGTGTGCATCTGTGCATGTGTCTGCATCTATCACTGCACACCACCAACTTATTTGGTAATGTCTAAAGCAAGTAATAGACTCCTTGTCTGTTGAGAAAGTTACCAGGTGACAGCTTGTTTTGCAAGGTTCTTAACTCTGCGTCAAAATGTAGGAGCAGTTACTGGCTGAGGCGAGGAAGTCTTGTCTTGCTTTGGTTGACACACAGGTTTCAAAGTGGTTTTAGATCAGTGGACTTCAGACTTTTTTTGATCGTGACATTTTCTTTTATAACCCTAAACACGTGTATACGCACATAAGTTCATGTATATATAAATTACAGAACTTTTACAAAATAGTACTTAACCTTCCACTTGTGACACAGTCTGATACTCTTTATTTTATTCTAGTTCATTTAAAAAAATGCTGGTCGAGACTCAGCTAGTCGATCTTAGAACCTAGGTCATATCCAGAAGTTTGAGAATCACTGCTTTAGATGATTTTGAAGGCAGTGTGGCTGTGGCAGAGTGATTCTGACAGACTTCTGTGCTCGATGGCAGTGTTCAGCTCAGCACGGTGTCCCCCCTGCCCCCGTTAGGTCATTTGTTCAAGGCATTTTAAAAAATTTATTTTTAAGTACCCAATTATAAGTCATAGATTTAGATTACTATTAAAGGCATTTTCGCTTTGTGGCATCATCTGCCTCCCCAGGTTATCTGATCATTCGTTGCCTCCTTCACTCCAGGGATGTCTGTTGCTTCAAAGAGAAGATAAAATATATACAATTGCTCTGTATTGTAATCTGTATCTGTAAAAGGGCAGCATTTAGGGTGGTTTAGACAAACTCCTGGAGCTGTCCTTTCCTAAAACATTTAGCAACATAATTCTAAACCCTTGACGGCTTCTGGCTTATTAAGCTAAGTCTCTTTTAGCAGGAGGCTCCTTGCGTTTGTATAATAGATCGATCTTAGGAACATACCTGTCTCGTCTAGTGTGACAGTGTCCCAGAGTTTAAAGAGCCTTCTTTTTCCCTTAAAATAAGAAGCTAATTTTGCATCCTACTTTGAAACATTCAGTTTACAGAGGTGTTGTACTGTAATACTGACTTCTTCCTCCTTGCTTCTCTTCTGCATTTTTACTTCATTCTCTTCTTGTGATCCTTAGGAGTGTTTTTGGGCCTAGGCCTGAGTGGAATCATTCCCACCTTGCACTATGTCATCTCGGAGGGATTCCTGAAGGCTGCCACCATAGGGCAGATTGGCTGGTTGCTGTTGATGGCCAGCCTCTACATCACGGGGGCGGCCCTGTATGCCGCCCGCATCCCTGAACGCTTCTTTCCTGGCAAATGTGACATCTGGGTAAGTGTGACCAGGTGACTCAGTGTGTATACATATGTGGCTAGTGGGTTATTGGCATACTGTGAAGTGACGCAGTCGAAAAAGTTTTAGACTCAAAGTTGGGAGACTTGTCCCTACTTAGCTGTGTTTCACTGGACAGTAAGTACAATAGTAAGTAACATTTGTTGAGCTCTTGGTGCTCAGCACAGTGCAGAGTGCTTTACATAGATTACCTCAGTTAATACATTAGCCCTACAAGGGATAATATCAATAACTATTATTCGTGTCTTCATTTTACAGATTAGGAAACTAACGCTTAGGGAGGCTAGGCAACTTGTCCAAGGCACGTGGCTAGTAAGTGGTAGAACTGGAATTTGAATCAGGCTAGTTTTAATATCAGAGTCTGTGCTCCTTACACAGTAATGGAAAGTCATTTAGCCATTCTTTGTCTCAGTTTCCTCATTTATGAAATGAGGATGATGGACCAGAGTTCTACCAAAGTCCTTTTCGATACCAAAATTCAGTGATTGGTAATGAGAGACTGAGTATATGTATGTCTGGTGGGAGCAGGAGGCAGCGATAACTGGATTGTGATTAATGGTAAGAGAGAAGTAAGGAGAAGGAGAAAAAGAAAATATAAGAGACTGGCATAGATGGAAAATTGTATAACTAAAGAGGGCCTGAAACA